AACTGGGACTGGAAGACAGGTCTTTGAGGCCAGAAACTCTACGCAGTGTTTTTCTTCCAGATACTTCTAACCTAAGGCAAGACAACTCTAATACACTGGCAGACAGCAAAACAGCCACCCAAGTGACACAATAATTAAACTCTTATTTAAGCCAAAATTTAGTTCTGAACACTCCTGGCAGACCAAACAATGTAGGACGCAAGCATTCCATCTTTTCAGAATCTAAAGCAAGGGAACATACCTATTTAAGAGGAAAATCAAATTGCCCCAAGCTTAGAAGCAGTGATCTCATGTTTAACAGGGCACCACCAGTTTAACTGATGGGCTCGTCAAGAAATGCAGACTCCCAGCCCCATTCTTACTCTTGTGGGCAGAGCCCAGCACTTAGCACGTTTACCAAGCACTCCGGATAAATTCTGAAGCAATTGGCCTGAGCCCCCTAATTTGAGAAACAAACGGCGTCCTCTAATGGCATTCCTCTGTCCAGTGCTACCCCACAGAGCCACACAAGTGGTTACCTGTCCACTGGCTGCCTTTAAAAAGTAAAAAGAAACAAGTGTGACTGACTGTATTTTATTTAACCCCCTATATCCAAAATATTATTTCTACATATAATCATTCTTTTTCTCAGACAAATTTTCCAGTTACAACACATCTCAATTTGGACAAGTCACTTTTCAAGTGCTCAGTAGCCACATGTAGCCAGCAGGTACCTTGCTGAACAGCATGCTCTCAATGCAGCAGTCTGAAACTCTGAACGACAACAGAAATGTTCTATTATCTGCATTTAGGCATCATTTGCTGAGCACTTCCCACCAGGCTCTGTGCTAAGTGCTTTACGTGCTTTATGCTGGTCCAACCTCATGTCAAGCCTGTTACCCAACAGAGACCCTTGTGTTAGTGCTCTCGGGACAGAGGCTGCTGTGAATTGACCACTACCATGTCCACGTCTAGATGTCCCAGAAGGAAGAACTAGCATGAGCAAGAGTCCGAGCTGGGCTAGTGCAGGCATTGATGGCTCTGGCCCATGTCCACGTCTAGATGTCCCAGAAGGAAGAACTGGCATGAGCAAGATCCGAGCTGGGCTAGTGCAGGCATTGATGGCCCTGGTAGGGGAGATACTGGGTTGAGGCTGGCATCCCATCAACAGCGAAGATGAAGATGAGAATTCAACACTGAAGTGGGTTCGGGAGTGCAGCAGGAGTTGGACAGGAACTACGTGGCTGGTCGGATAGGGTTCACTGGTGGCAAGCGACAGACATGGATTAGGGGTTTATTGGAAAGCAACTGGGGGACCCGACAGAACAGCAGTTGGAAGAACTGAACAGTAGGCCTCGGAAGGGCCGCTCGGCAGCAAGAGCGGAGAGCTCACCCTCTAGAGCCAGAGTCTCAAATCCCAGCAGCACGTCAGGGTCACCTGGTGAGCCTTTCAACATCTCAGTACGCAGACAACTACTGAAGCTGAACACATTCCTGCCTGCGGCTCAGTAGTCCTCCTCCCAGGGGCAGGCCCAAGAGAAACGAATATATACATCCACCCAAAACACCAGAATGAACCGTAGCAGCTTTATTCATTACAGCCCCCAACTGGAAACGTAAAGGAACATAGAGCAGAATACAGACAGCGAGAGAACTCTTGATACACACACCCTCCCAGACATCATGGTAAGTGGAGGCGGCAAGCTCTAAGTGTCCTTACTGGCCGAGTCCATTCACGTGACGTTCCAGAACAGGCAAAACGAATCTTAGGGTGGAAAAAGAACACTGGTTACCTGAGGAGAGGGTATTGACTAGAGAAGAGCATGAGGGAAAATCCTGGAGTCCAGGAAATGTTCCCCTGCGTTTATCTGACGGTTACTGAGACGTGTGCGTGTAAAAATGCATCCCGTTCTACACACAAGATTTGTGCACTTCGTACACTTTAGTGTGTATATGTTATACACCAAAGGTAATAATTAAAAAATATAGATCTCAATGCCCAGCCTGCAGCCCAAATGGATTAAATCTGCATCTCTGAGAATGGGTCTCCGGGCATTGGTAATTTTAGGAGCGATTCCAACACGCAGCCAGGGTGGGACACTCCTGCCCTGTCACAATGCTTCTTAAATGTTAATGTGCACACAAATCACTGGATGTCTTATTAAAATAAGAATGTGGGTTCA